AATGAACACTTTCAGCCTAAGTCCCTTCCTCCTACGATACATACACACTCTTCACTCATTAGGATCTACTCTGGATACTATTCATAGCTACATACTAACACTGCTACTAATGCTAACTCGCTGGGCAGCTATGGCTGCATTACTTCCAGCGTACAGGCTTCTTCCTACATTCAGCGCATCTTCTACCTCCAGCGCTGCTCCTCCTGACTCAGCGCACAAGTGCACCAGCACTTCCACTCATTGCAGCCAGTGGAGATCTGGCGAGGAATGAGGCAGGCAGCTCCCTTTATAGTGCTGACCACTCCTCGCTGGGTCTGCATTGGGTCAACTCGGCCTTTCCTTTGTCCCAAACCCTGCATTGCATGTGTCCCTGTAGAGTCCCAATGAAGTTCAACTGCTGCTGCGGCCTCTCGGCCTGTATTTCGACTTGAAAGTCTGGATCTGGACTGACCCCTTGACTTGACCAGAACTGGGACTGTGCCTATGGACTTTACTTTCGGACAGGCACAACTCTCAACGAACAGACAAATTTACTGCTTGAACAGACACTTTCCTTTGCACGAACAGGTACACTGCCTGCACGTACAGACACACTCTTACCTGAACGGACATGACATATACATCTCCTGGTGAACAGGTAAGTCCTTTGACAATGCCCTTTGCCTTAGAYTTAGATGTGCCTGTTGATAGAGAACTTGACCTTTGACCTGCCTTCACGTTTCTGAGCCCTGGCGAGATACCTTTTCACAATGCTTTACTTTTTCAAGGCCCGTGCTGTCTTATTTTTACAAGGCATGAGGCCTATATCTGGTAAAGGCCTTTTTACTCTCGCCGGCCTAGTTTCGAAGTCCTTTGAGAATCATTTACCTATTAAGGATATGAATCCCTCTCGTTGCGTTTTCGTATGCAGACACAATATGAGGTGCAAAATCTAATAGTTCTTCCCTTGTAAACCAGCGATCTTCATTAGGATCCTGTGGTCTGCCCCTACGTCTAGTGTGGTAAGTACTTTCTGCAACAATTTTATCCACGTCGGCGACTGGGAAAGAGCTCATTTGTTACACAAGGTAAGAGCTTGGATGCATGGAACACTGGATATGTACGTAGATGTAAAGGAATCTCAATGACATACGAAGGACCATCCACATCTCCAATTACATCTTAAACTTGCCAAGTTCCTCTGTAGGTGGGTAAAAGCTTCTGAGAGATGCTTTCTTCAGGAGCAAACTCTTTAGATTTCACCCAAACCAAATCTCCTACAGCAAATTGAGATGGTCGTYTGTGTTTATTTGCCTGTTCAATCATCTGATGCTGTGCTTTAAGTATATTTTCTYTTACTTTCTCAATGTCTTTTTGATACTGGACTGCAAATTCACTAGTCCCTACAGGAAGCTTGGGCACTTGATCCGGGTTCAACCGATCAATGGGTCTGCGTGGACGCCATCCCAGATGTAACTCCATAGGAGTCTTACATGTAGATAGATGTACAGAGTTATTATAGGCACTGACAACTTTAGGCAGATGTTCATCCCAGTCAATCTGATCGGGACGAATGTACATGCGCAAAGTTTGATGCAATATCTTATTCATCTGCTCAGTCTGGCCATTAGTCTCAGGATGTCTACCTGATGACATTGTCAACTTAGAGCCATAAACATTCATCAGTTGCTGYCATTGTTCACTTGTGAACCTAGTATCTCTGTCACTTACTATAGTCAAGGGATGTCCAAAGTCTTTTACCCAATGGTTAAAGAATTCCCGAATTACCAATTCAGTCTTGGCTTCCGAAGGCAAGGCTACAAAAACAGCGTATTTAGTGAATCTATCCACTATGACCATTACTTGCGTTTTCCCATTTCTGCTCTTCACCTTAGTACCCAGGAAATCTATAGAGACAGAGTCTCYAGGGCCGGTAGGGATAGGCAAGGGCTTAAGTAGCCCGAGGGGCGATTGTGTGGTGCTTTTGTTTCGTTGGCACACTTGGCAACCCTGCACATACGCGATACAGTCCGCTTTCATTCGAGGCCAGGTGTAGGAACGCCATAAAGTCCCATAAGTCTTCTTCCACCCGAAATGGCCTTCTGTATCATGGCATTCCCCCAAGCTCATACTCTTGATCTCCTCATTATAGGGTATACACAACCTATCATGTACATTAGTTCGTTCAAACAATAGACCCTGAGTTACTTTATGATCGGGAAACTCTGCTGGCTTTTCTTACACTAGCTTAATCATGGCTCCATAAACAGGATCAGAGGGATACGCATTTCTAATCTTTTCTTGTAGGTCTGCATCTACATCTAGATAAGTCACAATAGCACCAAAAAAGTATGATCTACGACTTAGTGCATCAACAACAACGTTATACTTACCCTTGATTGGCTTCAGCTCAAAGTCAAACATATCAATCTCGGCAGCCCACCTTGTCAACTTAGGTGTCATTCGAGCTTGCGTTTTGAGCCAGCGAAGTGTTTCATGGTCAGAGTATACTTTAAAATGCCTTCTTAGAAGGTAGTGTCGCCAATGATGGAGAGCCTCACGCAGAGCATATAACTCTCGTTCATACGTTGAAGCGGCCACCTTCTCGTTAGGTAAGCGGCAAGACATAAACTCCACAGGTCTGTACCCATGCCCATCATCTTGCTGGAGTACAGCACTTATACCATATTGACTAGTGTCGGTCGTGACTACGAAAGGTAAGGAAGGGTCCGCCACTTTGAGAACCGGATAATTAATCAAACACTTTTTCAGACGCTTCAAGGACATCGTGCAATTTGAATCCCACTTCCAAATTACTTCTTTCTTAAGCAATCGGCGAAGGGGAGCAGCTATTATCGTAAAGTGTCTTACGAACTTTCGATAGTAATTGGCTAACCCAAGGAACGACCGCAACTCAGTCAAGGTGCGGGGGTTCCGCCAATCTCTGATTGCTGCGATCTTGGCATCTTCCGGTTAGACCCCATCTCCATCAATCACATGTCCTAGGTATAGCACTTGACGCTTAGCCCATTCACGCACCTGACGCTTAGCCCATTCACACTTCTTTGGGTTTAACTTGAGTTTTGCTTCTCTCAATTTATGTAGCACAAGTTGAAGGTGCTCAGCATGCTCCTTTTCATTTTTGCTGAAAATCAAAATATCGTCTAAATAAATCACAACAAATTTATCGAGCC